TTTTTTTTTTTTTTTTTTTTTTTTCAATCTCCACTCTATCACATAATCATATGTGTGTGTAGAGGTGGAATGAATCGCTTTGAATTGATTGAGAAAGCCTAGCCTGTGTCCTGCCAATCCCTGTGATGACTTGGTGAGGGAATTTTTTTCCTTTTTTTTTTTTTTTTTCCATTGGGGGGAAGCTTATGTAAGCGTGAACGTTCAGTAGGGATGACCGCGGAGCGATAGATATCATGTACATATGGCTTGATGTGCAAAGCGAAATGTGAATTAAGCATTACACATAAGTGGGGCAGGTGTGGAGGAAAATTTCCACCTTCATGAGTACATACACAATACAACGCCTCCCACAATGTGTGTGTGTGTATGCACAGTTTGAATGGTCATGAGCGGTGACTCACCAATTGTAACAAGAGGTGTTAAAAAAAAAAAAAAAAAAAATATTCTGGACCTCGAAGAGTTTGCAAATTTTGCTGTCCATTCTGCACAGCTGAACAAACCATATTGAAAAATGAGGATGCTACTCTGGCACGTGGTGGGGGATTTATCTTCCCTCCTCAATCCCTTTCAATGTACCCTCTAAAAAGACAAACAAAAGGCCATCACATAACGAGTCGCACAGTCCCATATAGCCACTCATATGTATACGCAGATATGTGCGTCCATACGTGGGTCTCTCTCCACTTTGCAATTTCTTTTTTTTTACACCACATTCAGTTCCGCACCAGCTTAGGACCTTGGCCTGTTTGACCTACAATAACGATTTTGTAATCCCTGTGTGGGTTGCTCCCAAGATGGGGTCAGTTTAAGTGGCATTCGCATCATTCAGAGTGTGAAACAAATTGTCCCAAGGAGACTATGTCCCGAGGACCCTCTTCTTGTGAATAATTTCCGTCTCTACCTTTCTTCCCAAGTGTGTGCATGCGAAACGGTCGTTCGTTCCTCGCGTCAAAGATTTACCATTTCCTCTTTCATCAAATCGGAATGGCGAGAAAAAAAAAAAAAAAACGTAAAATTTTCTTCAAAGAAAATCCTCTGCATCGTCAAATTACCCATAATGTACACATGCGAGGATACACACAGGGACATAAATGGTCTTCGCTGGCTGCGAACTCTGTGCCTCCCGCTTTTTTTTTTTTTTTTTTTTTTTTTTTATGAAAGCCTTCCCCCAGAATGAAGGCCATAAACATGGGGGCGATTCTTTTGGCATTTTATAGGTCCTTTTTCGTTTTGCTGGTAGGGACAGAGGGCAAATGGCCCCCAGAGTGGTGCTCAGCCTGTTGCTGAACCAACAGTGCATACAACACGTCACCGAAAGTGTCAACGACGTAGCGTTCAAACTGCCCCACCACATCGTTCCCTCCTCCGCCCCGATCAACAGACATACGCCCTAATTCTGCAGTCCATGTACCTCTGCCCCAAGTTCATATCAACTTTTGCGTAAACACGAATCTCTGTCCGAACCCGCCATGGGGGAAAAAGGGGATAGACGTTATATGAGACAACTCCGAAAGAAGCGCGCACACACAAGGCTGACACATGTCTGCATCGCTCGATCAAATCGTTTTTTTTTTTTTTTTTTTTTTTTCCCTATGTCAGAACGAAAGCACGGGTGTTCTCGTACGCCTCCTTCTGGTTCTGCGCACTTATGACTTTGTGGTGCCACATCAAATGCCTCATTAAAAACCCGGGGGTGTTAACAGGGGAGCCCCAAAATACAGGTATGCCGACTGCGATATATGCCCTGGTCTAGTGCCCTCTCCCCCTTTTTTTTTTTTTTTTTACATACGTAAAGGTTACCTATACATGTATGCATATCATTTCATTTTCTCCATTCCAATGTTCATTTCTAGGGGAAGGAATCGATGCTGGGCAGGGTGGCCATGGCATGTGCATGAAGTGTAACTTGTTAAAGGAAAAGAGGTCTCACCACTGCTCTGTGTGCAACCGCTGCATCATTAAAATGGATCACCACTGTAGGGGGAGAGCCATGCTGGAGAGGCGTTCTGCTAACGCAATGACATGCTACAGTGTGTCTGGCCGTGCGAAGCTTCGAGCAGTTGAAAGAGTCAGAAATGTAGTTTGCAACTCAAATGAAAGGAAACCGCGCACGCCATCGCTACAACATGCGTTATCTCGTTCATCCTATGGTTCGCTTTTTTCATACACCCCCCTCATTTTTTATATTCATTTAAGGCATTTGGATAAATGGCTGCGTCGGACAGTACAATCAGAAATTTTTTATCCTCCTCAATTTCGTAAGTCCCCAAAATGTCTAAATGGAGAATGCACACATGACGAAATGCACAATAAAAAACCAAACAGAAAATTTGCTAAGTCGTTTTTTTTCGCTTAACAAACTTTTCTTTTGTATTCTCTTATTGAATAATATTTGGCTAATTGGTCAGCTAGCTAATTTGTTAATTTTTTTTTTTTTTTTTTTTTTTTTTTTTTTTTTTTTTTTTTTTTCTCCATGTGCATGGCTGTAATACCACAGTACACCCTGCTCATGTGCATCAATTGCGCCTTCATCATTTTGTACAAAATGATATCGTGTGTTCAGACGAACCGAAGATTGAACACCTACAGAAAGGTACCACACGACAACACTCAAAAACATTATTACAATTTGTGTGGAATGCTTATTCTGTAGCATGCTTGAACTTTATTATGTACCACCTACTCAAAATTTCTTTTTTTTTTTCCTCCTTTTTTTTCAGTGTATACTAAGCAGAACAGACCTCTTCCTCATCGTGGTACGCCTTGCGTTTTTACGCGAAAGGGTTTTCACCTTTTTGTGCAATGTACGTGTGTATGTGCTTAGATGGATTGGCCTGATTTGAGGTGCCTCCCCCCTTTTCTATGTTGCCCCTTCCAGGTGAATGCCTTCGGCTCCCTCCTCTTCGGGGTGTTCTCGTTCGTTATGTTAGTCGACCAGTACGTCGCGATTAGGACGAACACGACAGGTATATGCAGTGGAGGAGGCGTATACGTGTGCTCGCGTCGAATTGCGTTGACGTAGACGTGTGTTAGCGTGGATTCTTACATGCACCGCTGCCCCATCCGCGCAGGGATAGAGTACCTGAAGAACCAACGCAGAGAAACGAGGCCCTTCCGAGAGTCACTCGTGGACGTTTTTGGCCAGCCATTCTGCTGCCTCTGGTACAATGCAGATTAAAAGGCGGAAGGAAAAAAAACATATTCACACATGCATACAAATTTACATGCACACATACATGTGTATGTGTCGCCAACTGAACTACCCTGCAGAGGATCGCTGTTCTCTTATACAATAATTTCCGTGGGCGTTCCTTCCCAGGTTTCTTCCCATCGATGGAACTGCGCGCTCGGATTATTCCTCACGAGAAAACTTCATTGGAGGGAAAAAGAAAAATTAAAAAGAAACATACAATTGTGTAAGCACAACTGCGTAAGCACAATTGCGCATGAACAGATGCGTGCATGTGCCAGCTCGGCGACCTCGAATCGTGTACCCCTCGACGGGGGCCATTGTTCACTCATTCGAACCATTTCCACCTATCATGCGTTGCATGCGCGGGCGCATTCGCCTCACTCAAACGTAATAATTTGAAATTAAATTTTTTTTCTGTTTTGTTTTGTTTTTACGTTTTTTTTTTTTTTTTTTTTTTTTTTTTTTTTTTTTTTTTTTTTTTTTTTTTTTTTTTTTTTTTTTTTTTTTTTTTTTTTTTATACCGATATCCTTGTCTCAACACTATGTGTGCTGCAGCTCCTTGTGTCTGTCATTTGGGGGCTCGCCTTTCATGCAACAAACTTTTTGCCTAATTTGCTTTACCCCTTCACGAAAAACACTTGGATCGCTTCTAATCATGATATAAGCCATTCTCGCGACTACAGAGTGTAAAAACATACATCCCTGATGGCAGTCATGCAGGAAAAACTCTGCTCTTAGAAAGGCGAGTCCCCTCTACCGTGTGCGGGGCATTGTGTGTATTTTTTCTGCGCGCGTGTGTGTTCACTCGGGTGTGCGGAAGGCTGGGCGTCCACTACACAATGGGCATCTACAAAGTTTAACTCCACATGGTGATCCCTAGGGTTCGTATCAGGCGAAAAGGAAAAGTGCCCCTTTGCAATCCATTTCACGTTTATTTTCCCCCGTATTTTTGGTCATGCTGCAGTACCCATGAGTAGGGGAGCTACCCCTAGCTGCTAGTTTCCGTGTCCGCTTGGACGTAATTGTACATGTGCACATAAGCATTCTGCGTGTATATATATATATTTTTTTTTTCCCATGCGTTGAGTTCAAAATCCCGTGTTCCATTTATTTTCCGCCTTTTCAAAAGGGCAAAATTTATTTGACCTTGCACATTACGGTTCCCTTTTTCATTCTCTCTCGCACGGTCAGCCCGCCGGTTGCTTAACCATGCCTTCCTTTTTAATTAGTAATGTCCCCACCATTTACATTTGTTCCTAAGGAGAGCATTCTCGTTCACTACAAGAAGCACACGCACATTGTGTCATTTGTGGGATGCTCATGTAATTTTTTTTTTTTTTATTATTCACTTTACATTTCCGTTTTGATTTTATTTATCTGGCTCATTTAAAAAGTATTGGCTTTTTTTTTTTTTCACCCCCGTTTTTGCCAAATCCGGACCTCCACATCTTAAACCAATTCTATGTGCATACAATTCGTAACTCCACGTAGAGCATTTTGAAACACACGTGTGGTCAATCTTTTTATTTTTATTTATTTTTTATTTATATATTTTTTTTTTTTTTACCATCAGTACTGCTCTCCGTGTGGGGAACTCTATTCATGTGTGTTTGGCCCTCCCTGTGCTTGTCTTCTGTGGGAAGAGCACCGGTAGACGGACAACCCAGTAGGGTTATTGTTCGACTCAGCTCACCAACCAAGTATGCTGCCTGAAGAACGCGATGCATAAGTTGGCCAACAACGACAGTGATATAAACTCCGACGACTGCAATGAAACGGCGCAGGAGTGCATTTACGGGTTCAGCTCCCCGAAGAAGCAGAGGCGGGCGGGCAGCCACGGCGATGCCGATTGTGATGCTGATGCAGATTGCGACTCTGATGCAGATTGCAGCAGCGGACGGAGAAGCGCGGGAGAGCCCCCAAGGGATGGGCCAGTCCAGATGAACATTGCGGGTCTGCACAAGAATGAAGAGGATTTCAAACCGGGGGGTGCAAATGAGGAAGAGGAGGAAACGAATGATGAGTACACGGAGGACAGCGACTACGATGAGGGAGAAGATGACGACGAGGAGGAGGTGGAGGAGGCAGAAAGGGGGTCGCACAAAAATGGTGCAATACCGCACGAGAATGACCGCGCTTCTCGCGCTTCTCGCGCTTCGCACGCTTCTAACCCCTATGACCCGTCTGACGATTGGAACGCCTCGGACGAATCGCGCGAGGCGCACGATCCCGGAGATGACCTGTACGACGCGGAACTGAACGAAATGATCGACCAGGAGTACTTCAGAGAACTCATCCCTGCCATCCCCCACGACACGCTACAGGCATACATCACGTGTTTAAAAATGTTCGGTTTTGAAAGGGAAGTGCAACTGCACCGATTGGTCAACCTACTTGGAGACCTACGGGATCCAATTGCGGTCATTCAGGTCCTAGGTCTACCAGGCATGGGGAAAACAAAGGTCGTTAAAAGTTTTATAAAATTAAAAAACGTGCCATTCGCATATGTAAATTGCTTAATGGCTCTGTATCAATCTGGTAAGTCAGCGAAGAATGTCATTTATCACACGATTTTAAAAGATCTGAGCACAAATCTTTTGCATGAATTTGAAGAATATAAAAAGTCAAATGGCTTCACAAATTATTCGTATGATCCCACCAAGTTAGTTCCAAACCATGTGTCCAACACTGATGTGTTTTTTAATGTTCTTCATAAGCTCTTGTCCTTTCGTCCCGAGGATGGAAGGGGAGGTGGGGATTCCTCTCCAGGGAAGAAACGTCGCCACGGACCTGGTGATAACGCATCAGAAGAAACGAGCAAAGGGATGACATCTCCAAATCAGCACCTCCACAAAGACAACCTGTACGATCGATCAGTTGTCTTCATCCTGGATAACGTGCGCTACTTAGTAAGAACACACCCAGATTTATTTTACGCCTTGACCAGGATTCATGAATATATTCGAGGCCCATATAACGACATGACCAAAGCGAACAGGACGACTAGAGGTTTGTGTATCATCCTAATAAATAGGTCCCCATTGCCAGACGAAATATTTGATGGACTGCCTCAACCCCCAACCGTTTGGTTTGACTCTTACACAGCAGATATGTGCAAAAATATTCTCTACCGCCTTTACAATACCATGTGTTTTGAATCTCTCCTCACATACAATGACAAGGATTTGAAGATCTACTGTGTGAAGGAAAACAAAACGGAATTTCTAATCAAAAGGAATAACGTCATTCTGGAGAACGAAGTCATTTGTGACATCTGGTGCAGATTCGTCGACTACATTATTAATGTGTCTTATAAAGATTATAAGAGCGATTTTCATGAGCTCCTTTTTATATGTGCTCACATGTGGCCTCTCTTCATAAAACCTATCCTAGAAGGCACCTTAGAACCTATTGTAGAAAATATGAATGCTCTACAAAGGAATATAGATACACATATCCGAGTGGCTACCTACAACCATGCTAGCCATTTTACATTCGAATTAATTGATTCCGTTTTCTTGAATGAAAATAATTTAAAAAATAAAGTGGACCTATCCTTCTATTCAAGAGTTTTACTTGTAGGGGCATATCTGGCCTCCAGAAATTTACCCCTAACGGATAAACGCTTTTTCAATGCCACTGTTAAAGGAGGTGCCTTTACCCTACCCAAGAAGAGAAAGGGCAGGAGTAAAAACGAATCTATTTTAACCTTAATTGGTCAGGCGATTCCAAAAAATTTCACCTTCATACGATGGATATGCATAACAGATTGCCTCCTCGTGTGCTTCTTCAATGAAAAGCTAACCATGAACAGCCTCATCTGTCACCAAATAAATACCCTCATTCAACTTGGATTCGTTAGCTTCTGTTCTGCAAATAATATGTCCTGCTTGGTCCGCAACAGCTTGATGAATGGAGTGCAGTGGAGTGGCTACTGTGGGAGTGCGTTACTCAACTCCACCAACAGTTTCTCCTCCCTAGGACATAACATCTTTTCTGATAGCGCAAACTCCGTTTCGTATGAGTCGTTGGACCCCTACACCAAGCTGGCCATCCAGGTCCCCGAGGACACCATCCGCGGTATAGCCAGGGACCTCAAAATCCCCCTCGACGAGTTGATTCTCTGACGGGTGGGCCGCTCCCGGTGGGTGCGCAGCTCCCTATTAGTCAGCAGCCCGCGGCAAGGGAGCAACTCGCGGTAGGTGAGCAAACGCTTAACCAATCACCATCATGCCCATTCCACTCGTCAACCTTTTCAACTGCACACCGCCGCGCCGATTTTTTTTTTTTTTTTTTTTTCCCTCCAACTGAACCTTTTGGTGAAATATGGCTTAACTAATTCGAGATACAACCATGAAAAAAGGTTTCCGTGTGGACACGTTAAAAAGGGTACAAAAAAAGGGGACGTGTAAATGGTTGCACGGATGAGAAACAAGCTCATTTGAAGGGGAGACAACAACAACAAGTTGGCACCACATTTTACATATCCTCCAAGACGAGCTTCGGATATATGGCCATCGTCATGAGCTCCTGGAAGAGCAGCTTACAAGCATAGGGAATGTAGATCTGCGAAATGTTAGTTTTGCTATTGCAGACGGTACACTCGTAAGCATTTTTGTTAATGTCTGCGATACAACAGAGCCCACAATTGTCACACACGTGGACACGGTACGCATCACTTTCTTCGAAGAGACGTTCCTTGAGCATTTTCGCAGACCCGTGTGAAATCATGCAATCTCTTTCCATTTCTCCAAAACGTAATCCTCCATCCCTGGATCTTCCCTCCGTGGGCTGTCTCGTAATCATAGTAAGAGGCCCTCTACTCCTAGCATGTATTTTGTCCTCCACCATGTGTTTCAATCTCTGGTAGTAAGTCGGCCCAATAAAAATCTTCGACTTTAACATTTTCCCATTATGACCATTGTACAAAATATCATTACCATACTTTTCATACCCAAGGTTATGTAACCTCTGCGATATTTCTTGCACAGTGATTTTAGAAAATGGTGTTGCATCTCCTTCTCCCCCTTCTATGGCTGCGACCTTCCCAGCTAGACATTCGACCAAGTGACCGATGGTCATACGGGATGGAACTGCATGAGGGTTCATGATGATGTCTGGAAAAGTACCATCTGAGCTAAAAGGCATATCCTCCGTGCGGTATGTAATTCCAATAGTACCCTTCTGTCCATGTCTACTTGCAAATTTATCCCCAATTTGGGGGATACGTACTGAGCGGACTTTTACCTTGGCAAATTTATTGCCTCGGCTATTGGATGACAACATGACGGTGTCTATCACCCCGTTCTCATTTTCTCTTAAGCTCAAGGAGCAGTCCTTCTTGTACTGCTTCAATATGTTAGAGGTACTAATGGTGAGCGTGGGAATTTCTAAATCGTCTTTTGTAGACCCAGAAACGATAGTTGTTCCATACTGGGGGCTATTCATCGTCGACATAGTGCTTCCGCTTTTAAAAATGGTGGTGCTGCTCGGGGTGGAAGAAGCAACACTGGCTGGACCCATCGTGGTTGTACCCACTGGCCCGCTACTGCTATACCTATCACTCATTGGAGAATCAGGAACGGAATCCATCATATTAGAACCTCCAATTGTGGAAGGAGAATAAGGACTAGATACACTTCCACAAACACTCGCTCCACTTCCATTCAACATGCTTCCTCCTCCCGACGAGTCCTTCCCTGTTAAAAACCCATTAGACGTAGACCCAACAGAGTTATAACTCATTTGTACATTAGGTACCTTCTTCTGAATCACTATATCGTCCTCGTCTTCAATGTTAGGGGATACCTTCCCAATAATAATATCATCCCCTAGAACCCGTATACCAGGAGCGATTAACCCATCATTATCCAACTTGGTGTAATCGCCCCTCTTTAAATTTTTCACACATCTAATAGAAGGCTTCTCAAACGATTCAATAATAAGACTCCCCTGTTGTTTCTCTTCACTCGTGTAGGTTCTATAGAACACACTTCTGAACAAACCTCTATCTATAGAAGACTGGTTCATGATCAGACTGTCTTCTTGGTTATATCCTGTATAGCACATGATGGCAACGATGGCGTTAATACCTGCCGGTAAATCCCTAAATCGTAAATACTCCATCACCTTGGTGCATACAAGTGGCCTCTGAGGGTAGTACAATAAATGGGCCAGCGTATCTAACCGAATGTTAAAATTTGTCACGTAAATTCCCATGGCTTGTTTCCCCATGGCACTCTGGTATGTGTTACGGGGACTCTGGTTGTGATCACTAAATGGAATAATAGATGCACATACACCTAAAATTAAGGAAGGGTGAATCTCACAGTGGGTATAATTGTTATGATACCCCGTCCCGGTTTTCAAGTCCCCTATAAACATACTAATCATTGTAGTTTCCTCCTCTTCACAGTCGATGTATTCAATTATTCCTTCCTGGATGAGGTAATCCCAATTGTATGTCTCCGGATAGGCAATCATATTCTTTACATGTTCCTTAGTTAATTTGAGTTTGTTTTCCCCATTGACATTTTTTACCACGTATAGAGGTCTCATCGCTCTACCCGAATCGGTAAAAATTTTAATCTCCTTGCTGTTCACATCCCTTACGATTGAAGCTTCAGGAGATATGTCACACCTCCTTCTTAACTCATATAACGTCTCGATTAGATTATCAATTTGGTTGAAACATCCAACCCATTTTCCATTCAGAAAAAGCTTCACCTTTTCCTTCATTAATTGCGGTGGCACTTCATCTAGGGATTCTAGACCCCACTCCAGTAGAAATTCATAAATGTTGTTCGTAGAAGTACCCACACTTATGTCACACATCAGGGACAAATTCTTCACAAGACCTACGGACTGTCCTTCTGGCGTTTCGAATGGACAAATCATTCCCCAGTGGGTGTTATGCAGCTGCCTCGGTTTTGCCATTTTCCCTTCTCGACCCAGTGGCGTATTCAATCGTCTCAAATGAGACAAGCATGAGGAGTAAGTCAATCGGTTAAGAACCTGCGCAACTCCCGTTCTTATCACTTTCCCATCTTTGTCTTTACCCCAATTACCTGTAGCTAGCTGGTACTGCATCCCTTGTGTAATTTGTGAACAACTCCTAACCGCCCCCGCAACATCAAATGGCTTGTTATTATCGATCTGCCTTTGTAGAACCCGTCTCACATCTTTTGCCATTTTTCTAAAATAGGTAGAGAAACTGCTAGCCATTAAAGGCCCTGCAATGTCCAACCGCTTCTTCCCAAAGTGATCCCGATCGTCTTCTTTAATTCTTCCTAACTCGGCTAGCAATAACCGATTAATCATGTACCCAATGAAGTAAGACTTCTTACTTTCCACCCCTGGCCCAGTACCCATGTGGGGTAAAACCTCCTTTCGTAGAAGCTCCTTTGCATATAAAATTCTTTTTTCACGGGATGCACCAACAGTGGGTCCTCTTTTACCAATGAAGTCCAGGCAAATATCCTGTGTAGGATAATCTATGCACTCCTCTAGAGTCTCCCTCAATGTGTTAATCATCATTTTGTCATTAAAGTCGTATACAATTCTTTGTAGTATATCTCGATCGGAGGTACAACCTAACGCTCTAAACAAAATACCCACCGAAATTTCAGTTCTTATATAAGGCAAAGTAGCCACCAATTGTCCTCCTGTCCTAACTGAACTACCTCTAGAACCCATTTTCGTTTTCATCTTCACAGAAAAGCCAGATGTAGCTTGAGATCTCTCCATCTGAGATCTTATCTCAGCTACCCAACCAAACTTAGAAGGCTGCTTCTTCTTAAACACATAAATAAAATTGTGAGCCATTCGCTCCTGTGCCACCAACACCTTCTCTCCTCCATTCACAATAAAATACCCACCCTGATCAAATGCACACTCACCCATATCAGCAATCTCGCTCTCTGGTAATCCCTTCGTCCAGCAAAACATGGACTTCAACATGAGTGGTATTCTTCCCAAGTTAATCCGTTCGTATACAAATTTTTCTTTTAAAATTTGACTCTTTGAATTTTCATCCACCACATATGTGCTCTGCTCAATGTCTATGTATATAGCAGAGGAGTAGGTTAGGTTTCTTAGCCTTGCCTCCTGTGGCCACAGGTTCTTATTTGTTAAATTCCTTTCATCGTAGAATGGCCTATCTAGGGATAGCTGACCAAACTTTAAGGAGTACATTACGTTTTTAGTATCATCTCGATCTGAGCGGTATTGTGGCTGTGGCCTTATTTCTATGGGGGGGTGCTCGTCAATTATTTCCTGCATCCTGTATTCAATAAAGTCGTTGTAACTCTCTATCTGCTGGTTCACTAATCCATGGCTACCAAAGAAGGATCCGATCACCACCCAGCTGTCTTCCTCCGTTATTAGTTCCTCTTCCTCATGGTCCTCTTCCAGCGGGGCGTCTGCAAAAGGTTACGTTCAACGGCGATGTGCGGCATAGCGGCTTCAAGAGCGACGACGTAGCAGTCTCCCTCAGAGAGGAGGGGGTAAACGGGCAACTCAGGTTGCACAAGCACCCCTCCGTGGAAGACCGACTCGGTCAGACCCCACTCCATAAGTGAGCATTACCTGCATGCATATACTCGCTCGAGAAGTAAGACGGTTCCAGTTTCACCGCCATTTTTCAACCGCACAAAGGAGAAAAAAAAAAAAAAAAAATTTATTTTACACAACTGTTCCCTTCCCGGGGTTAGTAAACAAAATGGGAAGGACGCGCTGGCAATGCAATTCCAAATCAACCAAATTGAAACAGCATCGCGACGGGACCTCCTCCTGGGTATAAAGTAGCTTCTCTGTTTTCCCTCCTTTTGGCAAATTATACTTTTCTGACTTTATTTTTAATTCATTTTTTTTGTTGTTGTCGTTCCCTTCCTTTTGTTGTTCCGCTCAAGCGGGTAATCCGAAGAAGAATTTGAAGAGGAAGGAAGAAATACTCATCCGGCAGCTTCCACAACGCACAGTGGGAGGGGGGTGATACATGCCGCGTTGTGGCAAAAATGGTATGTCCCTCCTGACGCTGGCCAATGTGGGACGCAACAGTGCCCCTCTTCGTAACACAAAGGCGCTTAAAAATGATACCCTACTCGCTTTTTATGCGTAATTTTTTTTTTTCCTCCTTCCCGTGAATGAGAAAAGGATAAAATTTTCAGGTGCGCCGCATTCAACACTGAGTAGTAGGGCATACCGGATTTGGGGGTCGCAAAAAAAAAAAAAAAAAGAGTTAAAAAAAAAAAAAACAAGCTACAAAAGGAAGGACTCAAGCGTGTGTGCAGAACCGTATTGCATCCGCCATGCATAAGGAAGTATAGGCTTAAGAAAAATTTTTTGCTTACATATGTGCGATGCGGCATGAAGCGCAGGCGTGGCACTGAAGTGGGGGTACCTGTAGCCATGCGTTGGGGGCAAATTTTAAAAAAAAAATGGCGAGTCCCGATTCGCGCCCAAGCGATAATGAGAATGAACTGAGCGTGAAAGGAGCGGCGTGCAAAATTGTTTGGCCCTAGTCCCCTTCGGAAGCGCGCATTGTATATTTTTACGTCGCAGCATAATCAAACAGAGTCAGCGGATGTGACGCATTTATAAAAACGCACCCCTGCTCCTGTGCCCTGTTTATGCTTTAATCCATTTTGTGCAGTTCCCCCAAGCAGCGAAAAAAACGTAGCGGCAAAACATTAACCTAGAAAAAAAAAAAAAAAAAAAAAAAACGTAACACTTTAGGAAGAGAAGCAAAACAAAACAGATTGTAATTAAAATTGCTTTATGGAAATACCGAAGCAGCAAAGCGCAAACGGCAGAGCGTTCGAGCAACTCGCTGGAAACAATTTTGTTAGTGATATATTTTTCCAGCTGTAGCAAAACCGGAAAATGCAAACATATAATACCAAAATAATGGTTGAGGAGGCAAATACAAGAATTTGTGAATGTTTGTGTAAACTCTGAGGACAGCAAGAGAGAGAGAAGGACAGCACCCCCTCCCTTATCTTTTTTATATTTTTGCCCTTTCCCCCTTTGCAACGAAGCGCTTTTTTTTTTTTTGTTTTGTTTTCTTCTTATTTACCACGAAATGAAAGGATACTGCAAAAGTACCATGAGTCATACACCTTAGAGGAAAGTATGGACACGCGCCAGAGCGAAGAAAAAAAAAAAAAAAAAAAAAAAAGAAATCGCACAGAAGTTTATAATTACCTAAGTGGCATAAATATATATATATGTATGTTTTTACTTACACACGATTAACCCCCGCGTGAGTTACGTGAACGACACAAGACTGATATATCGACCCACCCAGTTTGATTGAAATGGTTCCCCCCTTCTTGCGTTAATCTGCTTTTCTTCCTCCCATCACCCCTACCCTTACCTTCCCTTTCATTTCTTTTTCCTTTTTTTGTTCTTTTTTGCCCTCATTGGAAATCCTCACATCCGTCCTGTCCCCCACACGCATGCCAGCCTCTGAATGTTAACCACCAATTAACCCCCCCCTGTGGAACAATGGATAAAAATGCACTCAAGAGAAGAAACAGATTGCTTAAAAAGAATGAAGCTCGGATGAACCTTCTGCTGGGGAAATCGCAGGAGGGCGATGTAGAGAAGTACTCAGAGGGAAAAAAGAAAGCAACCGATTTGAATTTAAAACAGGATGAAGTAAATCAAGAGGAGGGACAAGGTGGAGGGGAAACGAAACAGCTCCCCTCGGGGAAAAACGCCACTTCGGAAATAGACCAAATGGCAACACCGAGTAGTTCCCCAGGGCAGGCTAGCACCGCCGACCCCGATCAACACACTGAAGAAAATTCCAATCAAAAGGGGGACCCCACCAATGAGCCTGACCAAACGCAGGAGGGGGAGAAAAAGGAAGGCGAGAAAGACGACCCCTCTGGGCAGGAAAAGCAAAAATCCGACGCAGAAACGAACCAAAAGGGGGATCAAAAGGGCGAAATAAAAAATCGAGCAAAAAAAAAACCAACAAGCAATAACACAGGTGATGATAAGTCAGATAGCAACCGAGACGACGGTTCCAATGCAGAGGATGCCAATAAGCCCAGTGAAAGCAACAGCGGCAAGTTAGAACAGGGCAAAGTTAAAGAGGAAGCCCCAATTGAAATCCCCCAAGTGAAAGTGTCCATACTCAGACTAGCCCAATTTGTATCCCTCATATTTATCGCAACAGTTTTAAGCGTGGTGAAAATAAAATATTGTGATTATAATCCACTGCCGATGAGCATACAGCCCATGCGAAAGAAAAAAATATTGCAGCGTTTCATCAGCTCCAAGTTTGTTTTTTTTTTCTTCTCCCTTTTTTATAACATAGCATTTTCGCTAATTGATGTGTATGCGCATTTTGTAAAACACAACCTGAGTCAGAAGGAGATCTGGAAGAACCTACAGAACCTACGGGAAAAGCTAACAAGCCAGTCTGAATCTATCCTGTATCTCCTAAATAATGGCCCCACGGTTGCTCTTTTTTTTGTGAGTATTGTAAAAACATACTTGCTGCTAATGTTTTTAACTCATTTGTTTGATGACCTTTTGTACAACTACACCGTTCGAAAGACTTGGGTGAGTGCTCCCCTCCCCGCGTCCTAGCTCCGTCGCAGTGCGGGGGTGTTGAGTCTCTCTCCTTGCCAATCTACCCATTTGACCATCTTCCATTTGTTACCTACTATTTGGTGTCAGCCATGAGCTACCCATCTGTCACCCACATTTTGCACACCTTTGCCCGCGTTGCCACACGGGAAAGAAGCCCCATTTCTTTTGCTCACACCATGTGTATATACTTTACCAGTTCAACCAAATGACCACACGTTTTTTATGAAGCGAAGTATTTTTGCAAAAGTCTTCGCTACTCTGCATCCTACTTTAAAAATATTTTAAAATGCTCCCTAATTCCCCCCCTCATTTGTCTTTAAATTTTTTTTTTTTTTTTTTCCAACTAGTTAGCCCCAAAATTATGCCCATAAAAAAAAAATTATGAACTGTTCAGGTAAAAATTCGCCATTGGGCGATCATTTGAAAAAAAAAAAAAAAGCAAAGCAAAATAAAATAAAATAAAATAACTATTTGGAGTTTTTCTCCCAAATGAGTACAACCCTTACACAGAGGGGGTGAAGGTACAACGGTGGACCACGCTTGCGTCTGCTCATATGGCTGCGCACATGTGGACTACAAACGTTATCAACGTGTAGGGGGAGCGTAAGTGGGGGAAAGAAACGGAACAAACATACACAAAAAAATGTGGCGAACAAAAATGGTGAGCGCGGACGGCGATAAACGGCGCTAAGCGGACCGGGGATCCTTCCCCTTGATCTCGTGGAACTTCTGCGCAATGGCCTCGTGGTAGACATAAGCCTTGCTTCGCCTGTATTTCTCAAACACATCATTCTCGCCCGGGTCTGGCATCCCGGCGGAGTAAAAATCAAAGTTGGATGTAACAGGGTTCCCTTCCTCATTCCAATTTTGCGCATTTTCAATGGCTATTTGACTAAAATTAACGTTCTTGCTTTTTTTATTTTTCCTAACCTTATCATCGCTGTCGTTGAGCAGCTCGATCATGGAGCTATCAAAGAGCTCCACTGATGAAAAGGTCGTATTCGTGTCACTGGAGTAGTTTTTTTCCACCTTCTCCTTCCTGCCCAAGCTCTTCAGAGCCTTATAATTTTCATACGCCTTCATCCTTTCGCTTGAATCAGATTCATCACTACTTTCGCCACTTACTCCACCTTCGTCCTTCATGATGTTTTCCAACTCTTCATAAAAGTCGTTTATCTTTTCACTCAGCTGTTGAGATGTGTTTGTTGATGGAGGGGTCTGGTATGTATATGAAATATCTATGGGTGTGTAGGGGACCAGGGGAACCTGCAACTTCTTCCCCTTCTTGGAAATAAACTTTAATAACGTTGCTAAAAAGCCTACTGAAATATCTTCCGGGTTTTTACCTCTGTTATTTTCTCCCTCCCCTCCCCAAGGATGATTAAAGTAATTTTTCCTCCCCTCATCAGGGAAGAAGAAATCGTTTTTTTTGTACCTATCAAATGGTTTGTTACACTTGGGGAAGTCATTTGATGGGAAAAGAGGTGGTGGTGGAGGAGGAGGCGGAGGGGGGGGTGGAATTTTCCTTCCGTTGAAATGACCAATATCTCCATACCTTCCTCTTTCAAAATCAGTGGCATATCGTTGGGTGTGATTATCCATATAACCCTGTTCATTATGCAGGGGACCACCTCCCATGCCCCCGTTTGGGCTGATGGGTGACTGGTCTGGTATTCCCTGATGGTAAGGATCGACGTGGCTTCCGCCGTTTCCCCACGAAGAGCCATTATTACCATCAGTACTCTCATTGTGAAATACACTTAGCAAAAGCTTATTCTCATTAAAATTAGTGACGAACAATTCCCGCCAAGAGTGCACCATCTGTAAAAGAATATTTACGGCTCCGTGATCTTTGTAGTAGGCACAAGTATAACCATCCTGGATAATCGAATGGATGTAAACCTTAAAGTCTTCCAACTCTTTACTCCTTCCATTCAGCTTCAAACATTTCAACAGTTCATTATACGAACATATTAAATTTAATTTGTTCTTAAAAAATGCACACTTCAATATCCGTTGGTAAAATTGAATCGATATAGCTTGACTCAAATTTGAAGTAGAGCATTTTCTAAACACCCACTCGTTCATTACCACTCTACTATCTTTCCTTGAGTCTTCACATTGCTTCAGTAATTCTTGTAGGTGTCCTTCATCCTCTGCGTTCAATTTGTTCGCTTCTCCAGCAGAGGGGCCATCGCTTTGGTCCTGTACATGTGTAGTACCCCCACCATAATTACGTGTATAACTATACAGCCCGTTACTCCTTCCCCCTTCATACGTATTCTTGTTCCATCCCCCATACGGGTTGCTCTCCTTTTGAGGGTTGTAATTATTCCCTTCTCGGTTTCTCCCCCCAATTGGGTTATGTTGAGTGTGAGAAAAATTTCTGCTTCCTCCCCAGTTGCCTTGATCCCTCCTGGACTGTTCGTCCTCGCTACCGCGGGCATGGCTTCTACTTCGGCTTCCACTTCTACTATAGCTGTAACCGCTTCGGGGGCTACTCCGACCACTCCTCCCGCTGTTGCTTCTGCTACTTCTCCGGCCACTCATACTACTCCTGTCGCTGTCTCCATACTTTCTCCTCATCCCCCGGCTTGCCCTATCATCATTTCCACTCTTGCTCCTATTCTCGCTGTGGGTTCGGGTCCTCGGACTCATTTCGAGAGTCTTTATTCTTTCCCCTGTGGTTAGGGTTGATAATCCTGAAGGCTGCACGTAATTTCCTCCTTTGAGTAAAACTACACTCAAAAGGGGCTAAACGGGGGCTTTGGTACAGATTTTATACAAGTACACAACTGTGTTATGTTCTTCAATGGGGGGGAGGAATCTCACCAATGGGATGGATACAAGGTCAGATGGTCTTCTCTTCACTCATGCAAGGGTTGTAGAGCGGAGCAGCTTAACAGCCTCATTAACGACCTCACAGCTTATGACCGCTTATCACTAACACCCGCATGGATATTGGGTGACTGCCCTACACTGTACTTCACCTTCTACATGCGCAACATGAAAAGGCCCTGCTTTATATACACGCCTACTATGCGCACAAAAAAAAGTGTATGCTGCACCCAGGGTTAGCAATCCTATCGAACAACTGCAGGCCAGTTCTTTCCCCTGCTGTTTTGGGAGGTCTTCAAAAATGGGGAACTCCCTTGGTGGAAAATATTTTTAAATAAAATACCCTTCGTGTGAAACCTGGCATTTGGTGCAGAGGGGATGAAGAAGATGAAAAAAAAAAAAAAAAAAAAAATAGTCCTTCCTTTTTTTCTCTCCCCCCTTCGCTTCCCCTTTTTTAATCTCAGTTTTTATGCACTTTTTATGCGCCTTTTTTTTCCCCCTTTGGCGAACTGCATTTTATCTGACGGCGCGGGTGCCTCGAGCCACTTCCGTGGGTATCCCGTTTGGCAAATCTTGTAAAAAAAAAAAAAAAAAAAAAAAAAAAAAAATGTATAGCGCAATGACGAAGTGGCCCAATAGCCAACTCATATATGAGACCATGTAACGAGCACTACGTAAAAATCATGCGAGGGAGAGAGATTGTCAGGAGGAGAACAATTTTGACCCGCGTATTTTTTAAGCTTCCACGGAGCCCCCCTTTTCTTCTTTTTTTTTTTTTTTTTTTTTTTTTTTTTGTTGCGACACGAACAGGTACATGTAAAGAGGTATTCCATTCTTATGTGCATGCCTCTCGTATAGGGGCCACCGTTCCATTTTTGCGAACGCCTATTTGTCGTACCGACCGACCGTTGATGATATAGCAGCCGTCGCTGCAGCCAACGGGTGGGTTTACTCCGGGTGAGAGGAGACCCCCCGTTGCATTCATCCCCGCGTCGTACCACCATAACGCATCTCTTCTCCCCTTTCCAGACTTTTGTTTTGAAAAAAAAAAAAAAAACGTAAAAAAAGATATATAGAACGCTACCTACCGAGCACTGTATAATTAATTTGCCCACCAGCACCGTTACAACTGCAACGGATGAGCGAAGACGAGGTCCTGTGCCTAGTTGGACCTCCCTGTTCGGCGTTGCTAATTGTAACAGGTTGCATCCGTAGGGGGGTTTTGTGTATCATCCTGGTGAATGTAAGTTTTCTACTTCCCATCTCGTGGCCGTCTGTTTCCCCCCCTTTTTTGCATCTCGTCTTCATTTTAAAAAATGAGGAGGGAGAGAGAGAGAAAGAGAGAAAGGCACACGAACAGAGGGAGAAAGAGACACACAAATAAAAAGAGACAGAGGCAAGGAGATAACGCATTCAGGTGGTGAGACGCCCCCTCCCAAAAGTGTATCCTTCGCCCCCATGTGTATACATATGCACTGTGTTCTCCTGCATTTGACGCGCCATCGACACGCGCACTAGTGCCCCCATACACACACCTTTAAAGAGGTTGGCTCCCCCGCCAATGCATAGCCTTCCCCAAATTAGTAACCACATTAGTAACGAAGTAACCAAGTGAGCACATCGCCATGATGCATGTAAGCGTGATGTTATTTGTGTCTGCGTGCCGCGGCGAGGAGTTCCCCCCCTGATACCCCCGAAATTAAATTATATCCAGTGGCAACGTGCACAGCGCCATCGGGTGTATCTCTTTCCTCCTTTCACAAAACGAAAGACATTTCATTTCATCCGTACCACCCTAATTAAACACACTTATCCTTTTTTAATTTAAAATTTTTGTGATTGAACAGAGAGGCTTTCACAAATCATTGTTCACCTTACATTACATACTTTCCTTTTTTTGTGTGTATTACACAAAGCCCCTACTTAGGTTGGTTTTCCCTAGGGGGGGGGGTGTCTGTCCATTTTCTGTACCGTGTAATCAACACAACAGCAACGTGGTTACGACTTTTTTTTTTTTTTTTTTTTTTGTGTATGTGTGTGTTGTAGCAGTGGTTTTTGTCCTTTTTGCGCTTGAGAAAGGAGAAGCCAAACCCAGTCCCCCTTGCGCTGTTTCCATTTATGTAACTCTTTAACCACATCGCGACGTACATTTCACTCCGCGTCCGCCTCCAGCACATACCTAGTGTCACTACTACCCCCGCACGAGGAGGAAAGGACTCCTCACTCAATTCTCCCTTTTAAGTAAAATTCCAAATGGAAAAAAAAAAAAAAAAAAAAAAAATAGTCCTTCCTTTTTTTCTCTCCCCCCTTCGCTTCCCCTTTTTTAATCTCAGTTTTTATGCACTTTTTATGCTCCTTTTTTTTCCCCCTTTGGCGAACTGCATTTTATCTGACGGCGCGGGTGCCTCGAGCCACTTCCGTGGGTATCCCGTTTGGCAAATCTTGGAAAAAAAAAAAAAAAAAAAAAAAAAAAAAAAAAAAAAAAAAAAAAAAAAAATGCACAACATGGATGATCAGCACTTAGCCGATGCAGACGAAGGATCGAGGGAGACTCCCAACGAGGAGAACACTTCAGAAAAGAAGAAGCCCCCCCCAAAGGGGAAAAAAAATAAAGGAGTCGAGCGACAAGGCACTCCAACGCGTTCGCCGCAGCGGCGTGAAAACGGAGATGCACACAATCCGGAGGGAGGCAACAGCGTCAGTGGTGGCGGTGCAGTCGCCTCAAACGATGGAGAAAGGCCTGGTGAGGACAATGCTTGCGAAGAAGCACCCGGTGAAGTAACAGGTGAAGAAAAACCGTTGGAGGATAAGACGTTGGAGGAGAAGACCATGGAGGAAAAGACCATGGAGGAAAAGACCATGGAGGAAAACCCACCGCAGGGCGAGCAAAACGAAGGGAACCTCGCGCAGAGGTCCGCCAAGTCAGACAGCACGAACACGGCCAGCAGCAACCTGATAAAGATAAGCCAGAAGAGTGAGGAGTGGGAGCAACCAAAGAAATGGAGCTTCGCCCTTCTCCTCACAAATATAAAGTCCATGGTTCTGTCAAATTACATTTACGTAGCCAAAAAATGCGGCATCCCTAACCAGCCCAATAAACCAGGACCAGTGCTTGCCATCAGTGTGGAAAAAGAAAACACAAATGAAGTTAAAAATATTATTGTGCAAACCCCATGTGCATACGAAAAGTACACACTCAAAGGAAAATTAATTCAACACAAATCACTCTACCCTTGTACAGTCACTTGTATGATGTATGGTAGTATCGGGGGAATCGGAAAGACCGTCATTTTAGGGTTGCAAAATGGCTGCATACTAGTTTACAAAAGTATTGAGTTTGAATGCATACTCAAATTAAATACAAAGGAATGTTTGGAGAAATATTTTAAAAGTTCTTCTGGTTCCTCTGCTAGGAAGCCTTTTAATAATTCACGCATGAACAGTGGCGTCATGGATGCACTTAATGGGACCAATGAGGAGAGAAACTCAGGTAAATTCGCAACACAGGGTGTCAGTTCGAACGAGGGAGAGGACTATAACGATCTGTCGTATCAAATTTCTGGCCTCTCCGTCAAGTCCACTTTTGCTAACTTTATCCACTGGATCATCGCCGGCAACATGCAAGGATACATCTTCGTGTGGGAGGTGCCCAGTGGGAACCTCATCAAAATCCTCGTCCACCCCCACCACCTGTTCGGCCACGTCAAGGGCGGTTCGGGCGACAGCGATGGAAGTGGCGATGAGAGCAGCGGTGATGATAGCAATGATGATGGTAGCAGTGATGGTGATAGCGATAATGGCCTAGGAAAGACAAAAAAGAAAAAGAAAAAAAACATTCCAAACGGCAGCAATGCTGGAGCGGATCAGGAGGAGGAGGAGGAGGAGGAGGAAGAAGAAGAAGAAGAAGAAGAAGTCGAGGACGACTCCTGCAGCAAGCCCGACTACGAAGAAAACTCCAGCGAGTTCTCCGGCGGCAGCTACTTGAGCGACTCAGATGAGTATTGCAACTCCAGCGATCAAGACAACGGCAGCAGAACAGGGCGTACCGGCTCCTCCATACAAATGTTACGCGCCAGGGGAAGGAAAAAAAAAAAAAAAAAAAAAAAAAAAAAAAAAGACAATGTGCCAAACAAATGCTATGTGTCAGCCATATTAGCAGTCACGCATAAGTACGAATTGTGGGTCGCATTCGGAAGTGGTTATATAGCAGTATATGACTTATATGACTTCCAGTTGCTTCTCTACACGTGCATTTCCAAGAGCCCCATCATGGACTTAAAATACTCCAAACTCTTGGAAGACGTCTTTTTACTAATAGGTAATAATTACATTTCTGTATGGGATACAAAAACGCTCAAGCAAATTAAAAAACTTCCAACTAGCCAAGTTACAAAAACATCCTCCCTGTCCACTTTATATCTTTTGGAACGTCCAACTGTGTGGAAAAACAAAAAGGTTGTTTTGATTGCAGGTTGTAATGATGGATCCATCTCCGTGACAAATGTTATAAAAAAGATGGATGGTGATTTGACCTTTTCTTATGTACGGACATATGAGAAGCACTTCGAGCCTTATGCCCCCATCAGCTACATTTGCATCCACCCCAGTATCAACGCGGCCTTCGTCGGGGACGCCAGTGGCGTCGTCTTTACGTTACCCAAAATTCTAAACACGCTCAAGCACGACGATGCGCAAAGGTGAACCCAAGCGCAAAGTTGAAGCGAAGCGCAATGATGAAGCGAAGCACAAGCGCCTTAGACGTGCCTGCAACACTGACGTGTGACCTCCCAGCTGTTGCTGCCCTTCCCGTGGAGGTGCCACTTCTTAGCTAGCATACCTCCCCCACTT